TTACTCTTGGGTTGAGTCCCAGAGGAAAACGCAGTCCCCAAAGGTTCTCGGTAAGAATGCCGAACATCTCCCCGCTCTCGGGGTCACCTTTTCCGCCTTGGGCCCCTATAAGACGAACTTGACCCCTCCCGGGCCACAGTCTGTGTCTCCTTCATTTCCCTTTCCACAACACGATAGTAGGAAGCCATTGTTTCACTTTAGGGCCGCAAATCCGCAAGTAACCAAGGTCCTACCGGGATTTGAACCCGGATCGCTGGATTCAAAGTCCAGAGTGCTAACCATTACACCATAAGAGCACCTAGCTCAGACACAACACGCCCAATCCGCAACCCGCTCGAATCGCACGCAATTCACGTATTCACGGACATGCCACATGTGCTGCACATACCCCTTTCACATATCGTCGTGCTCCTACACCTACGGCCATGCTCGCATGCTTCTTTCGCCACCAGGCTTGCTTCAATCCCCGCCTCGAGCCATCCGGTTGCTACTCGCTTTGACGTCGCATTTCTTCGTGTTCTGGATACCCACGGGATCAATTGTTCTCGCGGAAGGCTGCGATGAGCCCTCTGGCTGTCTTGGAGAATTGGTAGTGCAGTCAGCGAAGTCGGCAGTTAGGCTTGGTGAGCTCTGCCAGAGCAGCAGCTACCACTTAAATCGGCAGCGGATCGCCGGGACACGATATAACACACCACGGCAACACAACGTGACGCGGCTTTAGCGTGTGGCAGGTGCGCAACGCAGCAACAACTGGGGCGTTGTAGGGCCGGTAGAAGCGGTGCAAAACGAGGTCCCACCGGGATTTGAACCCGGATCGCTGGATTCAGAGTCCAGAGTGCTAACCATTACACCATAAGACCAGCACTAACTCACCAATCCGCAAACAAAATTTCAAACGCTTTCCTAAAGCCCCACACGACAGCTGGCGCCATCGCTACATACTATGCTTGCAACGCCGCACAAAATCAAGCTCCTGCCGGGATTTGAACCCGGATCGCTGGATTCAAAGTCCAGAGTGCTAACCATTACACCATAAGAGCACCTAGCCCAGACACACCACGCCAAATCCGCAACCCGCTCGAATCGCACCCAATTCACGTATTCACGGACATGCCACATGTGCTGCACATACCCCTTTCACATATCATCGTGCTCCTACACATACGGCCATGCTCGCATGCTTCTTTCGCCACCAGGCTTGCTTCAATCCCCGCCTCGAGCCATCCGGTTGCTACTCGCTTTGACGTCGCATTTCTTCGTGTTATGGATACCCACGGGATCTATTGTTCTCGCGGAAGGCTGCGATGAACTCTCTGGCTGTCTTGGAGAATTGGTACTGCAGTCAGCGAAGTCGGCAGTTAGGCTTGGTGAGCTCTGCCAGAGCAGCAGCTACCACTTAAATCGGCAGCGGATCGCCGGGACACGATATAACACACCACGGCAACACAACGTGACGCGGCTGTAGCGTGTGGCAGGTGCGCAACGCAGCAACAACTGGGGCGTTGTAGGGCCGGTAGAAGCGGTGCAAAACGAGGTCCTACCGGGATTTGAACCCGGATCGCTGGATTCAGAGTCCAGAGTGCTAGCCATTACACCATAAGACCAGCACTAACTCGCCAATCCGCAAACAAAATTTGAAACGCTTTCCTAAAGCCCTTACACGACAGCTGGCGCCATCGCTACATTCTATGCTTGCAACGCCGCACAAAATCAAGCTCCTACCGGGATTCGAACCCGGATCGCTGGATTCAAGTCCAGAGTGCTAACCATTACACTGTAACAAGTCTCAGGATGCCTGCTTGCCGGCGGGTCGTAGCGCTTGACAGTGCTGTGCTGCTCTGGCACGGGCAAGGTTCGACTAGTTACAAAACAGAACACTTCTAGGCCACCGCAAAGTAGCCGGAACGGACTTGTTCCTATTTATTGACGCGTTCTTAAAAACTTATTTTCGTCCAAATTGTCCTTCGTCTCAAAGGCCTTCTTCTTGTACTCGTCCACCCGGTACTTGTCATCGAACTCGTACCCGTCCAACTTGTACTTCGTACCGTACATCGTACTCGTCCAGCTTGCGCTAACCACCAAACACGTGCTTACTTAACTCATAACTCAAATCGTTGATCTGTACTTTCACTACAAAGACTTCTTGTTCCGGTTGCTCCGCGATAGGGCAGAGACTTCTCATCCCTCGTACATGTTGGTTCATCACGTGTCCGTAGCTCCCCAACAACTCATATCATCTCATTTGCTGCGTCTAACTGCTCAGTCCCTCTCAAAGGCTGCGTCTCACTGCACAGACTTCTCAACATCATATGCTTCGTCACTCGCGACAAAGACTTCTCGACCGTCAGAACTAAGTCACGCACGTCCCCCGTAGTTCAGCTAGCAGTCCACCGGACCCGTACGAGGCCTTCTCTCAGTATCTGTACCGGGATTCCCCGTCCGACACCACTACCGCCAGACACCGTACCGCCGGCGACCCCACTTGCTAATCCACATACTCGTCCGCTCGTTAGCTGTGCCGTAACCCCATCGGTCACCGCCGCGACAGTACATCCCGTAGCTCATCAGGTAGTCCACAGAGCCTACACGAGACCTTTTCTCAGCAGCAGTGCCGGGATTCCCCGTCCGACACTACTACCACGAGACACCGAACCGCCTGCGACCCCACTCACATCCACGTTCTCACGCGCTCGCTCTTTGACGCTTCAGGCGTCCCGTTCGTCCATGGTTGCACGACCGCTCACCATGCCGCACCCGCACTCGTCACCGTCCAGTGAATAGAGCGCTACCGTGCACTTCTCACCCACCGCGCTAAATCGGAAGTGAGCGTTCCTTTTTCCCTTCTCTGTCGATCTTCGGATCGCACGTCACCCAGAACATCCAGCAACCAACCATCTCTTTAGACATACCCTGTAACGACCCCTTACAGCCGCTCTGGCCGGCCACGGCAACTGCTGCGCCGAGTCGTTCTGCTCTCTCTGTACCGCGGGACCTGCTCCTCTCACGTTAGCCCAATGACTTTGCCATCTGCCACACGACGCTATCTTCTATCTTCAACGTGCTGCTCTTCGCGTATGCGTCCTTCTCGTCGATCCTTGAATACGCATCCGTCGTTGTGTAAATTGCAAACCAGCGTCACTATACATGTACACGGAATCCGTATCCTCACCCGGCTTGTAATTCGCTGCGTAGCCCCTTGTACTCGTTCACCTCATACACGTTTGTGCCATCCATCACCAACGGCTAAGCTTCCGTAGTCACTTCACCTGCCCTCGTAAAAATGCTCTGTTACAACACCATAAGAGCACCTAGCCCAGACACAACACGCCCAATCCGGAACCCGCTCGAATCGCACGCAATTCACGCATTCACGGACATGCCACATGTGCTGCACATACCCCTTTCACATACCATCGTGCTCCTACACTTACGGCCATGCACGCATGCTTCTTTCGCCACCCGGCTTGCTTCACATACTACAACATCACGTAGTGGTGCTTAATACTCATTCCCCCAGTGGCCTGGCATGCTTGTGCAGCTCTGCCAGACTTAAAACAATTTCCAACGTTATAAAGATTCTCATCATCGTCAACATCAAAATTAAGTCTTTTGTGGATGCTTAACTCGCCGGGGTGGTCAGAACGTCTTCTGATCAGGAAAAGTGGCTGGTGTTGAGGTTGAACGTGACGCAATCGCGATGTAGCTGCATGCTCAAGCACTCGAGGCACGTTCAATTCGTGAGCTGCTGACTCTGGCTGGCCGTCCTCGCGTTCTTGGCGCATTGAGAGCCGAAACGGAGCGTCCATCGTGCTAAGACCAAGAAAAAGATTATGTGGCCATGCCAATCAACCCAACAGCTCCACGCGACTCTTCACTATGCTCTTCGCTGTGGTAGCGAGTGCTTACGAAACATTTTCCTTCGCTTCGCTCGTTATCCGAACGTTAGATACCCTAACGTCGAAAGGCCTACCGTCTTACCCCGCATATAAGGCATAGGTGCTGTAAATGAATACAACGCTGCTTGTGTGTTATATTCGTTTAGAAAGCCTATGTGTTGTACAACGAACAAATTGTTTGACTTTGAAGAAGTAAGTCTGTGGGTCCTGGAATATGGCTTGGTCGTTTAGGCTTGACCCTCCTACGCGATCGGCGTGGGTTCAAGCCGCCACGCTGTGCTTCTTGCTAAGAGCAGCAAAGCCGTGACCTTTCTCGCCTATCCGATAGTCTGCTAGAACAGCGAGTTTCACGTGGATACTATAGCTACGTCGCTCAGCACTCATGGCTGTGTAAATTATAAAATAAGAGAATTAAAGCCAAGTAACAGCAGCACCGACAAGTTTGTTCAGAAGGGTGGCTGGTTGGGAGCTCTCAAGAATATTTATTGGCTGGTACAGCCTTGTGTTTTACACATGTGTTCTAATTAGGTAGGTGGTCAAATTGAGGTTTAAGCTAGATGTCGAGCGAATCCCGTATTTATTTAAAACACATATGCCTTATATGCGGGGTAAGACGGTAGTAGAGAATGTAACGGGCTGAGTCAAATTCAGTTAGCCCAGGCTCCTCGGTTGAATCACCCGCCCAGGCTCATCTTGCCAACTCTCCGGGAGTGTGCACTGGGGAACAAGCTCGCACCCAGCCCCCACCCGGTGCTATCGCTGTCGACGCTTCTGGTATGTACAGCGGCAGCTACAAGACTGTAGCGGAGGGCGTGACACACATCCCCAACACGACGGACGAGCATACTCTCTTCGTGTTCCCAGGCGTCTATCACGAACAAGTGGTGGTTCCGAAGCTCAATGGTCCTCTGGTGCTGCAGGGTTACACCTGCGACACGATGTCGTATGCTGCCAATGAAGTGACCATCACCCAGGCGAAGGTCACTTGGTTTTCAATCAGGATCAACCCGGTCCTAAAAAAACAAAATTTCAACCGGATTCATTCGAATTGAAACAGGGTGGACCCCTTGAAAATTTTTTTTTATCTAATCACTGGAAGATAATAGCCTGTGCTAATCGATACACCATAAGTAGAATCAGGGGCTAACATTACCTTGTGAAAAAGTAATCTTGGGTAATACTAGTACTACTACTATTATATACTACTACTATTAATTACCCTATGTACGGTATTCACTATGAGCAGTAGTATTAATCACTCCAGGCGGTACTATAGTACTAGAAGATTACTACTTTCAAAGGATCCGGAACTGAGTGGCTCTCGTCCCTCGTTGCAGGAAGATTGCCATTCTCCCATTTGAAACCAAACTGTCAGACTGCTTGTGAGCATGGGCTGTGCTGTAAAAGGCTGCCAAGAAGACAATGGGCTTAAGACGGACCCGTGCAGCGTGTGTGGGAAGCCTACACACCACATGTGTGGTATTGGAGTTTTCGAGGGCACTGTCTCGGCGCTGAATGAGAGGTAGCGGTCTTGATTTCATCTGAATTGTATTGTTCATACTTCTACTAGCACTACATTACAGATTTTGCAGTCAGACTTGTGTTAAAGTCACCCACCCAATCCCGTCCACACTCAATCGACGATTGGAAAGCGTCCTGCACACCCCAGGATTGGCTGTAAAGCCTATTCAGCTAGCATTAGGGAAGGATCTGACTCCGACTTCGTCCTTTCGCCAGACCCACGTTCAAAGGGCGACGATTCGTTTAGTGAGCATCCGGTCAGGCGTCGTAAGACTACTACGACAGCAATTTCAGCGGTTGCTAAGATGAAATCCGGATAGCCACCTCTCGATGCCACCAGAATGCTCTCTAGCTGGTCCATTATACGAGCTTGGGATTCCACTTTCGGTTCGACACTCCAGAAAAGCAGGTACTACAGATGAAGTCTGGGATCTAATTCACACGTTGGATTTTCCATACAAGAAGCAGAACCCCTGGAAACCATCCGTCGGAGTGTACCGCAATATTTGCCTACTGTGCTGCCAAGATATTAAAGGTCGTGTCAAAACAAACCGCTATTCTTGGGAAGCGGCGCTCCGCAATACCAAGAGCTCCAGCAACGCGAAAGACCACATCAAGGCTAGGCACGAAGACCACCCGTTGGCAATACTAGCCGAGCAGACAGCGACAGATAAGTGAAGAGCAGATATCGCGGCCGCTGAAGCAGAGTCACAAGCGGTGTTAGATCTAACTGGAGACGCGGAATGTGGATCTATCACTTCTACGACAGAAGTTACTGCTTCTAATGAAAAAACAGGGACAAATGTGGCTCGAAAGCGGTCATTCCGGGCGAATGGGAAGACGCTGAACGTTCTCATTTCCAAGTCAGTCAAGATCTTCCGTACACAGTGTGTGCTTCAAAACCCTTTCACGACGTCATAAGTTCTGCTACTGATAATCCCTCCTACCCGATTTTGAGCCGTGAAAGACATGACCGACTACTCAACGGCCAGTTCCAGTTGTTTTGCGATCTGGTTGGTGATTTTTTTAATGCTGAGTTCGAGAAAGCCTGTCGATTTAAGTTTTTAAACCTGATACATGACATTTGGACGAGCAGTGGGAAGGATAGCATCGTCGGTGCACTAGCATTTATCGACAGTTTGGGGAGGTTTCGGTTTATTGCTGTGCTGGCAACTGTAAAGAACGATGGCCACAAGGCTCCTGCGGTGGCCAAAGGCATCCAAAGTGGTTTGAAGTCTAAATACGATCTAGATATACGTGCCATGACTCGATTTACGATATCCGATACTACTTCATCCGCAAAAAAACGTTGCTGATCATATTGACACGGAGCAGGAGGACTGTACCATGCATCTACTGAATCTGTGCATTGGATACGGGATCGGTCTTAAAGACAATATCCAAACAACCACAGCCTGGAACGACACTACAAACACATGTGATAAAGTAGTCAAGACGGTCACATCAGGAGGTGCTTATGATGAAGGCGGAGCTGTGATACAAACGCTGCGGGACTTACACAACCATTTCAAGTCTTCAAAGCAGCGCGGTGCATTAAAGAAAAATCCAGGAAGCTCTGTCCTATCCGGAATTCGATCCAATGATAGACAAGGATGTACGTGTCGCCTACACTTGCAAAGTTATTCGTCGATCAGTCAACTTCTCAACTACTCAGCCTACGAAGCCTACTTCCAGTCCACGAAAGACTCGACGAGCGTGTGGACAGCGCTTTCTTCGATGGACTGGTTGCTTGCAGCTGAGATGGAGGCAGTTACCAGTTTTGTAGCTCGTCCTGCATTGGTAGAAGCTCAAAGTGAGAATCTGGTCTCGCCATACATGGTCGTTTTTCGCTGCCTCGTTAAAAAAAAGCTCAAATCATATAAGTTCGATGCTAAGACTATAGAACCACCCCGCGCGAAGGAAGCAAACGAAGATACTCACCGACGGTATGTGAAGACGCAGGCTCAATTCTCGGCTCCTGGAAAAACATGCCTGCGACGGACACTGCTTCAACTGCAGGCACGCTTCCCCAAAGTCACATAAGAGGCGATGCTGTGCGTTTTGCTTGACCCGCGCACGAAATCGAGCGCAAAGAAACTGGCAGCTGACAGTAACATTCCGTGCAAGGAAGAGAAGGCGGTTTACAAAGATAGCTACGACTTCTTGCGAGATGAGCACCGGCAAGTATTCGCGCAGATGTCTAAGCAAGGCAAAATCCCAATGTCGCAACAGGCTTCGCCTCAAAGCAGTATGTTTCAGTCAGGAATCAACGTCACCATCATCCTCGCCGTCATCTACGGGCTGGGATGACGAAGGCGAGTTTTTACTTGGAGCTCCGATACGGGCCCGCAAGACCAGGGAGGAGATGAAAGAGTCTGAAGTAAATGCGAGAGCAGACGCAGTCATGAAAGATTGGCTTGAACTGGAGCCAGAGTGGCTAGAGGTCGCACAACAGCAGAACCCCGACATGTCGAAAGAAGACCTGTCTAAAGACATGACGACAGATTCGCACAACGGAATGTGCTGGGCACTGCTCGGTCTGTACAGACACGTGGACGTTTTGAGGTGGTTTCGTGAAGAAGGAGAGTCCCTGTTTCCCTCAATTGCGCTGCTTGCGCGCATTCATCTCGGGAAAGTCTCCTCGTCAGCGTTCCAGAAGAGGGTGTTTTCAACTGGAGGAATTGTAATGGGACCTCTTTGAACCCGGACGGAGAGCAGACGAGCGGAAAAACAGCTACTTTTCCGTCACAATCGAGAGGAGATCGTGAGCTTGAAGCACGACGCTCGCAACGCTATCGAGCCCAAATGAGTACTTTGAGTAGTATACTAGTATTACTAATATTACTACCACTTCTTAAAATCGCTACTAGTTTAAGTATTACCGCCTCCAAGAAGCCGGGTAGTACCAGTAATACTAATACCAAGTTTTGGAGGGTACTATTACCCCTGAAAGATACATCCTTAAACTTATCCTCCGAAACGCAGCCGCATTTATCCGGATAATCCTCTTTTTGATTCAGTTAAAATTCGGATACATGAAAAAGGGCGACCAAGGAAGTTATTTTTCAAATACAAATTGTATTTAGCAATTATTAGTACTAAATAATAATTCATTCATCGAAATTCATTTCGAGGTTGGCATAATGGGCTTTTTCACGCCGTCGCCGACGATTAACTACAACTTCGTCGCGGGTATATACGCCTTCTTCACGGCGCTGTGCGTGTTGCTGTCCGTGCTCCACTTCTACACGCCGAAACTGGAGGGGTTTTACATCGTACTGGTGCCGTTCGTACCCTGCTTCTTCTGGAGTCTCGTGGTGCGTCACATTTGGCTGAAGCAACCAGAGAAGATTGACGAGGACGCCAACGAATCCAAAAAGGACAAATAACTGCTCGCAGAGGAAGCTTTATGCGGAGCGGATAATGAGAGCGAAGACGACGTGGTGCTTCGCGACGATTAAGAGCACGACAGATTCAAATTCTGGTTATAGAGAGAAAATTAGCCTTCGAGGAAGAGTTTATTGTGTAAAAAGCGAAGATCACGCAGCAGTAGCCTCCGTCGCGGACAGAAAATCGACCCACTGCTCTACGTACGAAGCTTCGACAGACGACGCGGAGAGATCTCCTTGCCTTTGAAGCACCGCCTGCACTCTCTCCATTAACCTCTTCAGATCTTGCTCATACTTTTGCTCCCGAGCGCCGCGCGATTTCTTGGCGTTTCCTTCTCTTGCGATAGTAGTGCTCGGACTGCCGATTTGAACACTAGAGCTACCTGTCGAAGGTGGCGTAGGCAGCAGAACGGCTTGAAAGATATTATTCAGGTCAGCCCCCTGCTTCAGCAGAAGATCAACTGGTGCCGACATAAGAATTTGTTCAAGCGCCAACTGAGCTGAACTATGCGGAGACCACTGCACAGCGAGAATATCCTGGAGACTCTGAATTGCACGCAGCAGCAACGATGAGCTGTATTTATCGTACAGCTGATCGATGCTCGTGAGCGATTCGAGAGCTGCTAAATGTTTGAGGACGTCCGATGCTCTGGGTGACATAGGCAGCTTGATGTCAACACTCTCGACTGGGGCGAACTAATCGAGCTGTCTAGCAGGGAACGTACTCTGCGACGGCAGCTGAGCAGTAAGAGCTCGCCATCACCACGACAGCGATGTCGAATATCCGCGAGTAGCTCTGCTCCATCGATGTTAAGCGTCCGCGTTCCAAGAAAAACGCTGTCACAGCATCATTGCCACTTCCTGCGCAAGCGAAATAAACAAAGCTCGTCAGACACACGGACAGTACCTGGCCAGAGAGTTTACTTACGCTCCATCAGCTTCGTTATGTGCAGGAGTACTTGACCCAGTGCCATTTTCACTGCACTACTCTCAATGTCTAGGATCGACGGCAGTGCGATGGTATCCAAGATTTCAGGCACATGTGGCAGCACCATCTTGTCCAATGAACCTCGTAGCAAACAGTGTAAAACCTGTAAGGCCACTTCTATCTGTGAAGCGTGAGAGACAGCCCCTCCCACCGTTGGGACAACTACGTCTGAATCTCCTCGAATGCGCGAAAGCAGCAAAGGCAAGTAGGTTGTTGGCGCCGCAAAACGTCCGGCGAGCTCAGCACACTGTCTCAGTTCCGGGAGTAGATCGTGATCACCACCCCAAGTCCGCAGAAGGGTATGTACTAACGAGTGCACGTCCACCGTGATCGTCTCTTCGCAGTAAACGAGCACACATTTTAGAAGGCGCACTGCATGAGCGCGAGTGGAATCTTGCCAATTGGCCAGCTCACGCAAAATCGGGTTCAGGAATCGCCGAGCTCGTCCGCGTACAAACAGTCGCGTGCCTAGCGAAGGTCGACCAGCGACAAACGGCTCGGGCAATGGAGCTCGGTAGTTGTACGTCGGATTCTTCCCGTCGACTCCATATTGTTTGATTTCAATCACCTCTTCACCATGTTCTCGCTCGTATCTTCCGCCGAGGATCTCAAGAGTTTTCAGTGCATCTCCAGAAATATTAAGATCCTCGTCGCTGACTGCACTGAGCAAATATGGCAGCAATCGGGACTCGTGGTCGTAGCGGTCGGGAAGGTTCAGCATCCAGTCGCTGATCATGGCGAAGAAAGCGCGACGTACCATGGGATTTCGGTCCTGATCTAGCTTGGCAAAGTAGTTTAAACGAACTTCGGCTGTGTAGAAGGACGCCACAGGGATCACATTCTCGTCGCGATGTCCGATGAGGTCGACGATGGCCTCAGTGCCACTGCCTTTGCACTTTTCGACGTTTGGACAGGTTACAAGTGCACGGATCGTTTCCACAACAGCAACGCGCACACGTGCCAGTCGGTGAAGCAGCAGAAGCATGAGGGTGCGCACTGTAGCTACAGTGAAGTGCTTCATGACCGAGACCATGTGGTTGCTAATGGTCGCGAGGATTCGGCAGCTCGCAATGTTAATCTCGTGAAAGTCGTCGTGTATGCCACTAATTAGAACCAGCAAGACATCAAAAATGTATGCATGAAGAATAGACGACGCTCGACGCTCGAATGCGTTTTGTAAGACTGCGTCTACAAGGCCGAGTAGTAGCAGACGGATCTCTTCCGAAGGCTCGTCGGGTTTAATGCGAGTCACCTGATTGTCCGCAACGTAAACTCTTCCACGTTTGAACGCGTCATGCAGGAATTGGTCGCGCGAGAAGACCTGGTTCTCTTCGTCGTAGCCGTATTGGCTGTTAATGCGGTTCGTGATCGCAGGCATCAGATATGGCAAGTAACGAAGCAGATCTTCTTCCACTGCGAAGCACTTGGTGCTGAGACGGATGCAGACCTCCCGCACCTTTTCCACCGGGTCATTGAAGCGCTTGAACAACGGTTTGGCCATCTCTGCAAAGGCGTCAGTCGCTGTGGTCTCAGTCGCCTGCTGCTCGGTGCCGTCGTTCAGAAACTGCGTCTCCAACGCAAGCGCTGCCTTCTTACGCACGCTACGTTGCTCGGCCGCCAGGCGGTTAAGTACCTTTGGCAGACTGAAACTTTCCTCATCTTTAAGATTTTTGCGATGGGAAGCAGAATTTGGATGCGTCGCCGCGCAGGTAGCTCGTCGACCGACGGAAGCTTTGGCCTTCTTAGCGTTTCCTCCCATGGCCATTGACTTCTTCAGGAGCCGAGAAATGTCCACATTCCGGTATTCATTCTCCATTGCCAGATCTTGCCACAGCGCATCCACATCTCGAGTCGCCATTGCCGCAACGTATCCGAAAGTGGATGCACTTCAGGTAAATGGCGAAAGGTCGCGTTCCTGCTAGGTACGATTCTTATCTTGAAGATTCCTGCTAAAAAATGTTTTTCGAAGAACATGTACATAATTTACAATAGCAGTACCATGTTTTCTAAGAAGGTGTTTGACGGGCACTTAAATCTATGCCGACCCTCGAGTGGCCGAGTTTGCCTGTCTGGGTCGTCCTAGTGAGCACGATAACACGCACTAACCTACAAGTATTATTTTTTATATCCTGGATGATAATTGGTGAAAACTTTCCGAATTCATCCTACATGTACCGTATCCGGTGAGACGGGCTTTATGAAGCCATTCTTCGAGGAAGCCAGGATTCACTTGCTGGTAGACACTTTGGTGGATTAACTGGCCATGCAAAAAATTACTCACTCATGTGGCCGAGAATCTGTGCATACATGTACAGCAATTAAAGAATGTCAGTACCGAGACAATCGGAAACCTACAGATTGAGCGCACACCTCGATGGAGAGGTTACTGCTGGTCACATACTTGACCAGAGCATCGCTGACATTCACACTGTGCCGAAATTCGAGGTTAAGCGAGACTGAATCACCTTCCGGGTCGACGCGGAATCGCGGCGTCTGCGTGTTGGTCTCACGAAAGAAGGTGTATCGCACTGACACGTGCGAGAATCGCAGCGGTATGAGCTGGCTCAGTCCGCTGAGCTGCACACGAAACTGCACGAAGCGGTCCATAAACTCGTGGATCTGCTGCTCGGGATTGTCTACATCTGCACGCATGTATGGCACGAACTCGTCCTCTAAGAAGTACATCACAGAAAAGTTAATTGATGTTCAACATTAAACAAACGCACCACTCAAGAATACCACTTCAACTTGCCATCTTACTATTAATCTGGTCTGTCGCGACGTATGGAGTGATGCGGAGCTGTAGACGGCCAATTTCAGTGCCGATCTTCGAGACGATCGGCGTTGATTCGTCCACGGCGAAGAAGTAGTTAAAAACACCGAGGTACACCACGCACTCACCCAGGAGCGACGGCCTCGAGTCCAAGTTGAATGCCATTTGTCTTTGAATAGATCGACCAGTCACTCCCGTCAACTCGATTGGATTCCAATCGAACTTCTTTTTGCGAGGCTAATAGGACTTTCATGAGTCACGATTATTACTGAGCATCTCCTGCAATAATTGTTACAATTATTGGAGCTTCTTGTACTGACCTGACCGAACCGAATAAGGAAGGCACGTCACTGACTAGACTGAGTCTGCCTGGCAAGCCATTCAACGCAACTACGTTCTCACTGCAGACTGTCCATAGTTGCACGTGAAAAATGAATCTCTCTCTAGACATTGTCTCTATTAATAGTAGACAATACCGATGCTATGCCAAAGAAATAAACCGCAAGTAGAAGACAGAAAATCACCCGGGGTGGCCAGCATTCGCGGTTTCTCCTCGATCTTCGCCCGGACGATGCTACACAAGCCGTCGTCAACATCAACGGCGAGCCGATTTTGGCAAGTTGCCTGATGAAACCCAAGACGAGCCTCTAACCACTTTCCTATTTTCCGCCTGTGGAACAGAGACTGCAGCCGTACGCGCGCGACAATAATGAACCGAAGTAATAAAATGGCGGACCACTTCCGGCCCGCTTCTGCTGATTGTCGTATGGTTGTCCCAGTGACTTGGCCTGTTTAACTCCTTAACCCTTTAACTACTGGTTCATTTACGGGTCCCTATAGACCTTAACACAACTACAGCGCACACACCGAGCCCTGCTCAGTTGCAGCCATATTTTTTCGGGTTGCGAAAAATCAAATAAACCCTTCAAAAGACGATGAAAATTGAGCAAAGTCGATACAACTTAATTCGAGGAACCCATAGAAATAGAAGCCTTAGAAAGAGCCAGTAGTGGTCAGAACAAACTGGATGTTACCATCACTACACCCACCTTAAGTGCGATTCAAAACCTGCTTTGCTGAAGAATTGATTCCAAAAGCGCCAGTACGATGCTAATTCGTCGATTAATTTGTGTCGCTTTTGCAAAGGCCGAGACGCGGGTAGAACCCAGCTCACAACAGGAAAAACCGCCCAGGGTCGAGGCTTGTGGTCGGTCAATTCGCTGCACTCTCAATTCCGCGCACTTTCACTACCAGCGTCGGTCTGCCAGGAAGCGGGTTAGAGACTCACAGGACAGAGGAGCAGAACCCTTCTTCCTAACTACTTCGACGCCGCCGTCATGGAGAAGGGCGTTGGCGTATGGCTTCACGACGAGGAGACGGATGAGTGGCATCGCGCCACGGTTGTCAAGCTCGGCGAACCGCGGGACGACAGCGAGGAGCGCCAAGTGACTCTGCGTCTTACCGAGGGACCGAATGCTCGGACGGAGAAGGTGCTGCAGATCGATGTGCAGGCGCTTGAGGAGGAGCAGATCGATGGCGTGATGCTGGCCAACAGTAGCGACATGGTACGTTTTTCTGCAGGAATGATGGTCACCCGATATATAGGCACTAACTGGTGTCTGATTGTGTCCCTTGACAGGACGTCGTGGAGGATCTGATTCAACTCCCACACCTACATGAGCCTGGTATTTGCCACACGCTGAACGAGCGCTTCAAGATCAACGAGATCTACACTCTCACAGGCGAAATCTTGCTAGCTATCAACCCCTTCCAAAACCTTGGCATTTACACTGATAAGATCACACGCAAGTACATCCGCAATGGCGACAAGCGTGCGCTAGGACAGGAAGTAGCGGACATGCCACCGCACGTCTTCAGTATCGCCGACAAGGCCTACCGCTCGCTCGTCGACCCAATCGGTCACAGCTCCAGTGGAGGCCCAGCCAACCAGTCGATCCTAGTCAGTGGTGAAAGTGGCGCCGGTAAGACGGAAACCACCAAGTTCGTGATGAACTACCTGGCCACCATCTCGCAGCACAAGAACACCTCGGCCGACAGCAACGTCATGAAGCAGGTTTTGTCGTCCAATCCGATCCTCGAGTCTTTCGGCAACGCGCGTACGATCCGCAACGACAACAGTAGTCGTTTCGGTAAGTTCATCAAGATGGAGTTCTCGTCCGAGGGGAGTCTCGTCGGAGCGTCGATCCAGACGTATTTGCTGGAAAAGGTGCGTCTCGCGTACCAGGCCGAGTCGGAGCGTAACTACCACATTTTCTACGAAATCATCGCTGGAGCGACCGCCGAAGAGAAGAAGCGATGGAACCTTAAGGCGCCGACCAAGTTCCACTACTTGAACCAGAGTACTTGCGTAAAGCGTAAGGATGGGGTGAACGATGCCGAGCAGTTTGGTGTCCTGAAGAGCGCCATGCAGACGATGGGCTTTGACGACGATGACATGGAGAGCATTTTCGTGACGATCTCGGCGTTGCTGCATATCGGCAACTTGGAGTTCGATGAGACCCACCACGCTTCGGGTACAGAGGGGTCTGAAATCTCCAACATGTGCGAAGATTCGATGAAGGTGGTACTGGATTTCCTGGAGGTCGACAAAGAAGGTCTAGAGCTGGCGATTTGCAACCGCAACATCCAGACCAAGGACGAGCATTACTCGATTGGTTTGCTGCCTGATGCCGCTGAGAACGCGCGTGACGCATTGGCTCGATTCCTGTATGGCAAGCTGTTCGACTGGCTTGTCAGTCGTATCAACGAGATCGTGGAGAACGAGGACCGTGACGTTCCGTTCATTGGTCTGTTAGATATCTTTGGCTTCGAGGACTTGGAGCACAACTCGTTCGAGCAGCTGTGTATTAACTTTGCGAATGAAACGCTGCAACAACATTTCAACCGCACTGTGCTGCGTATGGAGCAGGAGACATACGAGAGGGAGGAGATTCAGTGGAGTTTCATCAACTTCCCCGACAATGGTCCGTGCATCGACCTGATTCAGGGCAAGCCGTTCGGTATCCTCCCTGCTCTTGATGAGGAGTGTATTGTTCCGCAGGGTAACGACCAGAATTTCGCACGAAAGCTGTACCGTCAGCACGAGCTGAACCCGCACTTTAGTGCGACCAAGACGGAGATGGCTAACCACCTCTTTGTCGTGCACCACTACGCTGGCGCTGTCACGTATGACACGTTTGGGTTCTGCGAGAAGAACAAGGACATTCTGTACCCGGAGATCACTGCGATCATCAAGCGGTCGTCGAAGCCGTTCGTGCGTGGACTTTTGCAGGTCGCGCCTGAGAAGAAGACGCCGGCTAAGAAGACCAAGGGTCGAGCTTCCAGTACTGCCGCGCGCGTGAGTCTGGGTCTACAGTTCCGTACCCAACTGAAGACGCTGCTGGAAACCATCAACGTCACCGACTGCCACTACGTGCGCTGCTTGAAGCCCAACGACAAGGCCAAAGCCAACTTGTTGGTGCCCAAGCGTGTGTGTCTCCAATTGAAGGCAGGTGGTGTCCTGGAAGCTGTGCGTGTCAACCGTGCTGGATACCCCGTCCGAATTGCTCACCAGCAGTTCATCAAACGTTACCGTCCACTCGCCAACGGCGAGTACTTGCAGCGTATCCCTGCAGATGCAGCTGAAGATGTTTTTGATAGCACTGAACGCAAGGAAGCAGCGAGCTTGCTGGTTGAGTTTTTGCTCAAGGCTCATGCTGAGCGATACCCTGAACTGGCTGGTGTAACGTCGGACGACCAGCAGGCGAGTGCAGTCGCTGGCATCCAAGTTGGTCTCACTCGTGTCTTCTTTCGTCGTTCGGCCATTCAGTTCGTGGAGGCTCAGCTGGCTAAGCGCTATGGTGAATTCGTCGTACTGATCCAGGCTGCTGTTCGCGGTCTGATTGCTCGTCGTCGTTACGCCCACATGCAGGAATCAGCAGTGGTGTTGCAGAAGGTGATTCGTGGATTTAACACTCGCTGCCGGTTCTACAAACTACGTGAGCGCCACCGCGAGATGAAACGTCAAAAGGAACTCGCTGAGAAGAAACAACGCGAGGAGGAACGGCGTGCCGCTGAGGAACAGCGTATCCTAGACGAAAAGCGCAAGGCTGCGGAGCTCGAGGAGCAGAATCGTCTCACTGCCCAGTCTGCATCATCAGATCCAGTGTCGGATGACTCGTCTGATGGAGACCGCGGTTCGTCAATTAAGCTGCCCAGATACTCCAGAAACTTCGAAGAAAGTCATGGCAGTCGCGCTGTGTCTCGCTTTCGCTTCACCAAGGACTACGGCGATGAGGACTACTCGATGCCGAACACTTCTCGTCAGGTTGCGATGGACCCGGGTGACACAGTCTTGCACGTGGCTGCCAACTGCTGCAACGAGCAAGATGTGCTCAAGCTACTTCAAAACGGCTCCGACATCAACGCTCGCAATCGTCGTGGGCGCACCCCGCTCCACACCGCTTCTCTTTACCAGAATGTCGAGGTTGTAGGCATCCTTCTGGACTGGGAAGCCGATGTTCTTGTGCAGGATGATGACGGTAACACGCCTCTGCACTTGACCAAGGACCCACGTATTGCGCGAATGCTTCTGGAGGCTGGTTGCACTCCTAACATTGTCAACGCCGACGGTCGAACAGCTCTGATTAATGCTGTGGACCGCGGTGATGCCAAGACGGTGAAGCTGCTGCTTCACTTCAAGGCGGATGTGTTGTTCCGTGAGCTGAAGCACCACCAGACTGCGCTGCACTTGGCTGTGCGTAAGGGCCACTACCAGATCGTCATGGAGCTGTGCAAGTCCGAAGACATCCAGGACTTGATTCTGTTGACTGACCGCAACGAGAACAACGCGCTCCACTTCGCTGTGTCTCGTGACCGCAAGAACGGATACCGGCTGGTGGATTATTTGATCAAACACGGAGCTGAGGTGGACAAGGTGAATGCCCGCTTCCAGTCCCCGTTGGTGGTTCACATCATGACGACTCGCCAGACTGACCCTGCCATCACGAAGCTCTTCCTCTCAAGAGGAGCCGACCCGAACATCCAGCTCGCCGATGGATCGACGCTTCTGCACGTTGCTGTAGAGCGTGAATTAATTGATATCGGTTGTGCCCTGATCAAGCACGGAGCGTCACTGAACGCGCCAGACGCCAAGGGGCGAATGGTCATTGAGGTCGCGAACAAGAAGTTTTTGAAGAAACTATTTAGCGCGATCACACAGCCGCCCACGTGGATTGACGAGAAGGAGCGTCGCTCGTGTATGCTGTGCAGCTCCAATTTCAAGTTTGGCAACCGACGTCACCACTGCCGTCACTGCGGACGCGTGTGCTGCTCAGACTGCTCAGCGTTCACGGTGGAGATGCACCGATTCCCGAAGGAGTTCCCTGGACGGATGACGAATGGCGGCAAGCAGGTTAAGGACCCACAGCGCGTGTGTCGTACGTGTCACGCCGTGTTCAAGATGCGGTCGGCTCAGAAAGAGTCCAAGTCGGGCTTCATGGCGCGCGTGCTCGGGTATGAATGGGACGAGGTAACTACTACCAATTGAGCGTGAACCCATACAGAGAGCACTAGCAAGTAGAAGGGAAGTCCCTGACGGCACCGTTAGGCGTGTGTATGTCTTTCCATACCTATCTATCCTAGCTGTAATAATTGGAGTAGCGCGAAAGAAATACATCATCCATTTGCGCTTCATCTCTTTGCTAGATCTCTGATACGTCTATCAGTCTCATGGTATCGGGAACCAGGAAGCCACAGTCTGCGCGAAGTCCCAGTCCACCGAGACCATCGCTAGTTGCCATGCCGTCAAAGCATTGACATGTACCTGCGCTATAGTCGCACACACCACTACACAGACAACATTACGAGTTAGCAATGCAGACATGGCAACATCACCGTTAACGTACTTGTTGGAGCATTCGGCGTTCTCGTTGGTGCCACGGAGGGAGCCGCTAATCCCGTCGCTATTTATCGTGAACACGGGCAGTAAAACGGTGTTGCGGTCGGCGTTCACTTGTAAAGGCGGCAGATCTCCTAGCGCCGATATGAACGTGATGGAAATTGTGTTTGCCGGTTGGCCACTGAGTGTGCAAGCACCGCTACTGGGACCCGCGGAGTACGATACTTGGACGTCACCGATAGTCGGAACCGTAGCGAGCGCAGCTTTCATATCCGCGGCTAGCATATTCGACGATAATACTGGTGATACTTTTCCTCGGAAACTAAGAGTGAATGCGGCAAGGGCCGTGTAAGCGCAGCGAATAGTTTGCACTTCACGCGTCTGGCCTGCTGTTCGTGGGTCGTCACCGCGTGGACATGAGCGTCGCGCACAGTCGTGGCCCTCGTATCCTTCGTCGCAAACGCAGCCTTGCATCTTGTTGAAATCCCAGGTTCTTGGGTCGTTTGGTGTACTGCCGTACGTTATGCTGAGTGGATCGCCAAGATTGTTGCGAGCTTCCAGCGCTAGCTCTGCCATTGTGAGACAGCGGCCGTGCCCATTGCATACAGGCTCTGAACCTGGTGGACACACAAGTCGCTCACAGGCAGCACCCTCGAACGGGGCCGGACACGTGCACTCGCCAAGCGAAGTTTCGCACACGCCGACTCCAGAACAAACTGCCATCGAGTGAGCTCGATTGTCTCCTATGGGAGTATCGAACCAAGCGATTCCTTCAGGACAAGTCCGAACAGAGCAATCTCCCGAGGTAAATCCAGCTTCGCACAAACAGCGAAATTGAGGTGGCCCAGAGCAATAGCCATGGCCGCTACAAGCTATTTCACCCTGCTCGCAAGAACAGCGTTAGTGGTCAGGCAATGTCGACATATTGTTAGACCTACCGGACATGCGATGATGGTGGAGTCAGCGGCGCCGCAGTCACCACGGTCGCCCGGACCGCCCATTCCGTCGCTGGTAGTGTAGCCCATGTAGCAGGTACAAACACCAGAAGTCAAATCGCATCTACCGCGGTTGGAGCATGCTTCGTTCTCCTTGGATCCGGCCTCAGCTTTGGATATCGTCAGCTTTGGTGTCATCCCGATACCTGCATGCAGCAATCGAGACAAATCTCCAGCCAGCAGGGGCAACCTGGATATCGTACTCACGGAGTTAGCGAAAAAACAAACGCGAGGAACACTTTAAAAGCGCTTCATACTTACGATCCGAAGTTTTGAGTGAACTCAACGGTGACCGTGTTGCCGTCTGCAGTGCACATTGTAGTACTGTTTCCACCAAAAAGGATGTTCACGTTCTGAAGCGTGTGCAAAGCCTACAGCGATACATAGTAAATCTGTGGGAAACCATGTATACAACCTACAAAAGCAATCCGTACGTTGAGTTTCTTGCTCACGACATCGGCATTATCTAGAGCGTCTATACGGACTGTCGTTTGGCCCCGGAAAGAAAGCGTTAGCGTCCCGCTCTGCCGTTTATACAGCAATTTAGCATGTTACAAATGACTGAAAACAATCTTGCACACACGCACCGTTGCAGCGCACAAAACAGTTTGCTTCTCGTTCTTCTGAAACCCAAACAGAGAATCCGTGGCAGCACCCGTAAGTGGATCGTCGCCGCTGGGGCACAGGCCTATTCCAGAAAAAAAATATATAAACCAGGTGTTCGAGATGTTTTTCAAAGATCAAGCTGATGACAGCAACGCTTTTCGTACGATCAGAGCAATCACCGCCTCCGTATCCTTCTTCACAAACGCATCCGTGTACCATCTCGCTATCCCAGATGGAGTTGTAGACCACCGCTGGGGGCAGTCCTTTATCCTTGCGCACCGCGTGGAGTTTCATGGAACGACATTCACCATGCTTACCACAATCGTTTGGACAGCTCACTACAACGATCATGAGGACGGAGCTCTGCATATAGCGCCTCGAATAAAATAACTAAACCGTACTTCGATTGCACGCAAGGCCGGAGAAACCAACGTCGCAGATACACATTCCTGTGGCGTAGTCGCAAGTTCCACGATTCGAGCACGCTGCCAGTTGGTGAGCACGATCCGTAGCAACCGCGACATCATTCCACGCCAGTCCAGTCGGACAAGTACCTGCATCCCGTTTTATACCAGCCCAAATACCATAAGCAACAAGGTGTGTTAGCAAAGACTCGAAGTAATTGTCGGTCACCGCAGAAACGCACGCCGGGAGCAGTCGCCGCCCGTGAAGCCTTTGTAGCACGAGCAAAAGTAGCCGTTGCCCTTGGTCGTGCACGTGCCGTGGCCACTACACGTGTTGGGGCAATCTCCACGAGCAAATTTCCCCTCTAACAGCACGAAAGTGACCACAATCCATGCAAACCAATTCGAGCGATTCATTGTTGAAGTGACGATGAGTGTCCTTTCAAGATCATTACGTGGCCCACTCGAATTCGGTGTTTGGTACTGCTTGTCACTCAGCCACACAAGCACCATCATGATGCGGCGAGTTGGACGACGAGTTGCAGCGACGGCATTGGCTTTCAGCCGCCATGGACACGTTGCTGATGCTAGACAAACGCGGTTGAGCTTCTACCAGTGCAGATATGCTGGTGTACGCGCTTTTAGCTCCGCAACTAGCGAGAAAGAGGTTCGTCTTTTCAGGAATATTTTTTGTTGTTGGCATCGATACTGATACTTTTCTGCGGATTACAGGCATACGAAGCTTTCGAGAAGGCGAAAGAGTTGATGGATGGCGATGATCTAAAGCAGGCCATGGGATACTTGGGAGTGGCAGCGCACGCCAATATCGCCGACGCACAATATATGCTGGGCTCGCTGTTGCTGAACGAAGACGAAGAAGAGGAGAAGGACCAGGCACAGCGCAAGAACAAGGAACTCATTCGTGATGCTGAGGCCAGTCGTCAACGCTCTCAACGCGCGGATGATGCTCAGAACATCAAGGAAATCCGGAAGGAGGCTCGTGCTGCCTACAAACAGTATCTGCTGGAACAGAGGCGCAAGAAACAGATCAAGACTGAGCGTTTAGCTGGTGCCGCCTCGGTGGTGCAGCATGCTACGACAGGAGAGCTGGACCGTGCGTTTGGTAAGACTGTGGAGCTCCTACTGGACCCAAATTCGAAACTCGAACCGCTGCTTGAGAATGGCGACGAAGACTACGCGGATATTACCAAGACGCACTTGGATACCACAATTGCAGTGGAATGGCTGCGTCGTGCAGCTGACAACAGTAGCCGCGATGCACACGTGCAGCTTGGTAACTTGTGTCTGAGCCACGACCCGCCTATGGCTCTGCAGGCCAGCGCCTGGTTTACCCGAGTGACGAGGGATGAAAACCCACACCCGGATGCACTGTATAACCTCGGAGTGATGTTATTTGAAGGGATTCAGCATGCAGAGCCTCCGTTCCCAGGAAACAAGGGCGCGTCGATTCCATTCTTCACGCGTGCTGCAGAGGTGGGCGACGTGTCGGCGCAGTTTTTCATGGGAATGCTACTGCACCAGGGCGACAAGGAATTGGAGATCGAGCCAAACTTCAGAAGCGGACTTATGCTCATTGAGATGGCAGCCAGCAAGGGCCACCCGGCTGCTTTGTACTACCTAGCGCAGCTGTACCGCTCCGGAGATGAAGCCAATAATTTCCCTGCAGACAGTGCCAAATTCCTTGAGCACCTGGACAAAGCCATGGAGGCTGGCGACGCAGACGCTTTCTTCTGTATGGCAGACATGTACTTCCACGGCAGTGACGGTTTCGACCAAGACTACGAGCAGGCTCACGGATTCTACATGGTGGCTGCAGAGCAGGGACACGCCGACGCATTCTGTTGTCTCGGTGCTCTTTATTATAACGGCAACGGTAGTAAGCAGGACTTTAAGAAGGCGTTTTTGTACTACCAGGAGGCTGCGGACCGAGACTCCATGGAGGCCTGGAAGAACCTCGCTGAAATGTACATGGTTGGTCGTGGCGTGCCTCGCAACGAGGCCACAGCTACCGCGATCATCAAGATGCTCAAAAAGGTTCAGGCCGAGGAGCAGAAAGCGTGAAATCACAACTTAACTACGAGCTAGCTGACTTGTCCTGTGCACAATAGAGACACCCTTCATCAGAATGTCAAATGCAAAAGTGGCATGTTCATGAATTGACTGGAGCCGTCAGGCCGAAAGGACACACCAAGTACTGTACCACACAACAGTGGGCTGGTCTAATTCAAATCCTGAAACGACCGCAGAGCATCAAGCATGAAGCGAGAGCTGCTTCCTGTCCTTGTATTGGTGTGGGTGACGTCAATCAGCGCCGTAAGGTACATGAAGCTTGAGTGTTTATGGCTCTTCGTTCGTGTTGTGAATACTTCGTTGACGCAGTCAGACGCTAATTGCTCGGAACTTGGTATACCACGTCGACCCTGGAGCGGAGCAAGTGCTGTATTTAAAGGGCTTTAACTATGACGGTGCAAAGGTAGCGCCTTCAACAGATGAAAGCTGTATACGATGCTGATGGTGACAAACTCCACTGGCTGTGAATTCTTAGTTGTCGTACACGATCACGTCGCTCCCGCTCAACGGAGAAATCTACCAGCTCTCGGACATCTACAGTGAATACGGGTAAGGTTCCACGATGCTGTCAATGTAGACTGAAGCAACTAATTTTGCTGACACCCAGCTATGAGCCAAAGCGTGCGGCATCACCGATAACAACAATACCCACGACAGTCACGGGCTCGAACAACCGGGTTGTGTTTCTACGTCCACCTTTCGGAGGTCCTCGAAGAGACAATAAGGTAAGAGGCGAGATCAAGCACAACCGATCGTTTGCTGATTAAGTTGCACGGTGGTCATGCAGTACGCAGAGTTTCGCTTCACTGTCACGGATGGGGTGACTAAGTCGAACGAGGGAATCGTCGTAATTACCACGAGTGATGCGCTAGTGTCAAGCACGTTCGACCTGGACATCGACAAATGGGGAATTGTATCGAATGGAGCTGGTGCCGATTCACTACCGCATTTCCAGCCCATTTCGCGTGGTGTACAGCTGAGTTACTACATCTACGGTCTCGATGCTGTCATCCACCGTCGTGAGGACACCGGTGACGATTCCATGCTTTGGTACTTCACTGCCCCGCCTAAGTTTCTCGGTAACCACTGGTCGGCGTACGGTGGTTCACTAGATTTTGTGCTCTCATCGGCAGAGGGCAGTTTTGATGCCGCCAACTTGAACCTTGCGGGAATGGGCCATCTTGTCGAGTTGGAGTGTGCGACTTGCGCCCAATTCACAGGAATAACGCTGGCCATGCCACTAAGTCCAGTGTTTTCGTACGATGGAACCATCACACAGTTTCAGTTGCCTCTGAACGAGCTTGCTGGGTGGGTTAAAGACCCAAAGAACATCCTTTTGCGTTGGTCACCACCTACACAGTGTGAGTTAGTGAGCGTTCTTTCAGGACTCTCGGCCCTGAGGATTTTAGGAGATTTCACGCGAGGCTACGAAAGCGTCGCGCTAGACTCAGTCGCTCTACGACACGGACCGGGGCAGCCCGTGAAATGCTACACCTCAACAGTTTAAACCGCTCTAGGCGTATAATTCACCAACAATTTCCCGCTCACAGCTCCATCTATGTAGACACGACTCGACATATTTCTTTGATTCTCATGTCTAATTAGCACCTGGAGGTGGCAGTTCTGCTGGGCTAGGGAAGAGAAGTTCGGCTTGAATCGGGTAGTGGTCCGACGGGTAGCGGCCCTTTCGATCTTCAGTAATGACTTCAGTTGCCAGCACCTTCATCTGCGGACGATAGAAGATCCAGTCGATGTGGTTCGCAGCACGGACAGCAGTCTTCTCGCCGTCGTTCTTAACGCCAGCCCAGCCGTGATACGTGTACGATACGTCACCAATCTGCTTCGCCGCTTCAGGCCACGCTTCACGAAGTTGCGGTCCTCCCTCTTGGGATGTGAAGTAGCTGTATGTACTAGTGTGGCGATAAGTGTTAAAGTCTCCCATGAGGAAGAATGGGGCATCCCCCGAGATCTGCTGGATGCGTGCCCACAGTAGCTTCGAGCCTTCTTCGCGTGACTTTGGACCCACATGATCCAGCTGCGTGTTGAACACAAAAAGCTCCTGTTGCGTTGCACGTAAACGGAATTTACCCCATGTGACCATACGCACACAAGCAGCGTCCCATCCCTGAGTACCGGGCGTGTCTGGTTCCTCCGAGAGCCAAAAGTTCCCGTCATCCAGACGCTCCAGCACGGCCGCGTCGTAGAAAATCTGCTCAAACTCGCCGTTCTCTTCACGTTCGACGCCAAAGCGTTCGTACGGGTGATTCAGCAGGCTCTACACACAATATTAAGATTCAGAGACTTATTCACCTTAACAACCCTCCCAATCTGCACTCACCTCCAGCTCCGCCAGCTGCGCCTTGAGTCCCTCCTGCGTGCCCATGATGGCAGGATGATAGCGATCGATGATGTCGGCCACGTGGTCTTTACGATAACGCCAGCTATTGAGGCCGTCACCCGTACCGGCGAATCTCAAGTTGAAGGTCATGATCTTGAGACTCAAAGGTGAGGAGCTCAGCGTCCGCTTCTGCTGGTTCGTATCTGTCTCCTCGTCCGTCGTTGTCGCTCGCAGACTCGGTCGTTTCTCGTTGCCAGACAGAGCAGCTGCAGCTTCCGCTTGCTCCTCGATGGATGCAGGACTACCGCCTAAAGGCGCTACATTTCGAAAGTTCTGGTATCCCACAAAGAGCATGAAGACCACGATGGTGCCCACTAGTACGAAAAAGCGATCGCTTGTGGACGCGCGAGGCCGTCGCGCTTGCGAGTGGCGATAGTACGGATTGCGCGGCGCCGAGTTGCTCGGGAAGAACGAGTCGAACCCGTTCATGGCCTGCGTCTACAGATGCGAACTGGTCTCGTGATCTGGTGATACGATTGCAACGTCACTGGCATCGTATTGGATAAAACAAAAATCATCTTTGTGGACCAATCAGAACGAAATGATTTCATATTGTTCTCGGATTGGTAGAAATGCTTACTGGTGTTTTTGGTGGATTAGAGTGGGGACTCGATCCACAGGTTTGAATTATGACAGACGATGCTCTGTTCGCTATGGAGACGCGCGCCATCCGCGAGGCGCAGTTGGAGACATACACCAGCAACTTGGGGTCTGTGGCATTGGTGCTATCGACATTATTGTGGCTAACTCTCCCGCCGCTATGGAGCGTCGTTAACGGCGATTGGAGCACCGCCATCCTGCCGAGTCTGCTGGCCATCGCAGGTGATATTGGACTTTCATTTCGATTAAATAACACACTGTTAGCTAACATTGAGCTGGTCTGTCTTGAAGGTCATGGTCTGTTTGTACTGTCGGTGTTATTATTGCTGCGGGTGGCGCAAGTGCAGGGAGAGGAGCTGCTTATTCAGTTTAATGCCAAGGTACGCAGAGCTAATAGAAATTGGCGTCTCAAGTAACATTACTGACGGTAGTATTTTTTTAACAGTACTTGGCACGAGTTAGCAAGCCCGAGGCTTCCCATGCCCCGCTGGATCGTACTGCGCAACGTACGTTCCTTTATTAGATGAAATATGGTGGAATGGTTGCTGACTTGTTGCAATGAATGCTAGTGGATGAGGTGATGAAGCTTAATTCTCTACGAGGTCGCTTGTCGGGCAACAAGAATTCTTCGGATGCAAAGGGACAGACTCAGGAAGATCGCTCATTCTTCGACCCTGCGCCAGTGAAGACTGTAGAGGACGGCAAGGCGTATCTTCGTCGCCTTCAAAAGACCCAGAAGCAGAAGGAGGCGGAAGAATCCATGCAGTCCGCTTCAGCTTACGGTATGGAGAACTCGTATCAGAGCGACGCTTTTGGCATCTACGGCAACGCGTCCATGGTGCCTCGTGTGTATCAGGCTTCAGGCTTCGACCCGTACCTTCGCGATGTCAGTATCGGAGACCAAGAAGAGGATCCGTTGCGTACATCCTCGCTTCCGCACATTGCGTGGCAGCAACTCGAAGAGTGGGGAATGGCCATGTTCATGCACTTGTACTGCCGCAACATCCGTCGCTTGCTTGCTTATCACGTGAAGGACGTCGTGGAGGCTTTCCTGGAGAACGCCAACGCTCTCAACGAGTGTGGCGTGATGGCGGATGTTCTGCTGCGTCGCGTCCCATCCCAGGCGTTGCTATGTCCGCCGGGCCAGACGAACCAGATGACCAACGTGTCGCTCTCTGATATGCTGCAGAACCTTGCGAAGAGTCCGTTGTTTTTCAGTAAGGAGCGAGGCGTGTATTTGTTCGAGGAGCACCAAAGTGTACGTTGAAGTGCTTGTGCTTTGTGTTTGTAGAGATCGTACTGACCGTGTGGTGTGAACTTTTACAGTTCGAGAAATACCTGAATGTCGGTGACCCCGGCAGCACGGATTATTCCTCGCTAGAACGTCAGCAGTATGTGCTAGAGCGACTCATCATGTTGTCCAAGGACCGAAGTCTTGATCGATTCCGATGGAACAAAGGATCGGCTTGGAAAGGCAAAGAGTGGACGGAGAACTTGCCAACAGACGCCGAGATCTTGATGAACACGTTCTGCTGCATGTTGGACAACATGTTGCCTGCGGACAACGAGCGTGATCGGCCGTTCTGGAAGTCCTACTACTTCAGCAAGGGCCCCAATCGACCATTCACGCCTCGAGTACGTAGCCGGCTTTTCCTCGTGCAGACAGTGGGGCGCCCACCTCATTTCAAGGCGCTGGTGAAGGGCGCAGTTCGCGAGATCGTACCGGTGCGTTCGAGACACTAAATGCGCCAAGCTCAGTAAGAGTGTACTGATTGAATGGGTTCTCTGTAGGGCGAGGAGAACTGTTTCCACGCAATCGTTGTGTATCTTCACGCAGTGAAGAAGATGAAGGCTGTACGGGATCTTTTGCGCTTGCTGAGTCTTCAACTGTGTCCTAACTCTGTACTTTGCCATGTCTAGGGCTACTTGGAGAGCATCAATCTGCATCGGATCATCGACCAAGTCTTCGACGTGTCCAAGTAACCCACATCCGCAATAAACGCAGCTCAATATGTTGCCTCGCACTCTGCTACTTGTACATGATATCCAGTATTTGCTTTCATGCACCAACTCACCGGACAGGAACGTTCTTGTTGCAGTCCTTTTCATGAGCTTTGAGGTTCTCTCGGGTCTTGAAAGTCTTCTGACGTGTCGCCGGGCAATACGAACATGCGTAGGGCCGCTCGTCTTGATGGCGGCGCTGCCAATGTCGCTTCAAAGTCTGCAGATTCCTCAAGCTCCGACCTGTGGACTCTGCATACTCACACTCTTCCTCAGGGCAGTGTTTGGGTCCAACAGGAAGAGGAACCTGCTCTCCCGTCACCTCTGTCATGGGTCTCTCTGGATGCTGCTTGCCATGAAACGTGAGCTGGTAGAAGTTGGCAAAGCGGTTATGGCAGATGCAGCACTCGAACGGCTTGAACCCATCTCGAAGCATTTCAACTGGAGCAGTCAGCGCAGGCACAGCACTCACAGCACTCACAGTACTGACAGGAATCTCAGTCGGTGGACACGCTACTGTAGCGTCGAGAGAGGTTTGCCCTCGTAGTCTCAGAACCTCAGCCTTCAGCTGCTCGATCTGGTCCTGCTGTGCTCGAATGGTATCTTGAAGGTATCTGTTCTCATCTGACGGTATTTCACCACCGTGACAAGAACCTCCGCGAATTATCGGGTAAAGTGTGCATGCCTCCTCTTCAGCATTCAGTGGACGATCCATCACAGTTCTAGCTGTTCCAGAAGGTGACAGGGAGGTGAGAACAGCTGCTGCTCGGTGAGCTGCATGGACCTTTAGGTGCGCCATCAAGAGCTCACGGACACGAAAATGCTTCCCACATTCTTGACACACGAACGGCGTCGCTGGGGCAGTCTGGACTTGTATTGCGTTAGAGTCAGCTTCGACGTCTACACTGGTAGGGAAGGCGATCTGCGGGACGTGGGTAGAGCGGTGGAAGCGCATCGCAGCACGAGACGAGTAACATTTACTGCAGCCAGGGACGCCGCATACGTAAGGCTTCTCTCCGGTATGAACACGAATGTGCTCCTGTAACGTAGACGCCCTAGCAAAAAGTTTGTTGCACGTCGGACAGCTCAGTTTCTTCTCACCCGTGTGTACAACTGTGTGGTCTCTCAAATGAGCGCTGTCCGTGAACGACTTGCCACAGCCAGGATGCATACAGAGAAAGTTGCGCATCCGCATAGCCCCTGGAATCCGCTTACGCTTCCTGGTGGGAGCCACCGAGGTCGAGGTTGTTATCGCTGCAGCGGGTGGCGGTGGTGGGATCACCAACGGGCGCGTCATGGGTAGCGGCAACGTCGCTAATGTGGAGGTCATGGTCATCGGTGCACCATTAGTACTTGTATTTGCATTCTCCGCAGCAGCAGCACTCAAGCCACCAAGGCTACTGCCAGTCTGTATCATCTCCTGTCTATGTGCAGTCTCCACCATCGTTGCTCTAGTCGACGGGACATTGCTGTAGTGGTAATAATGACTGCCTGCTTCGCTCCCACCAACTTCAGCACTTGGTACATTGGTAGTGCCCGATCCAGGCGCCGAACTTGTCAGCAGAATCCCCAACGGTGGTGGTGGTTGATGTGTTACCGCCGCTAAGTATCTGGGCGTCAACGGAGACGGCGACCATCGTGGCAAGGACACGGACCGGAAGCCTGCAGTCCCTGCAGTCGCCGACGACGCTGGATTCGACACACTGCAAGCAGTTGGATACACTCTCATTGGCTCTACGTCTTCACAGCACACAACCCCAACCAAATTTACCATCAGAATCGTTTGAGTACGTTAGAAATGTAAACGCAAATTGATGCTTTACCTTCATGGGGAAAAGACGCGAGCCCCGGATTGGTTGGTACGGCGCGTTCACGGGAGCCTGAAGCTGAGAAAAGACCGACGGAGCCACGAGGTGCAGGAGAAGTCGTCTGTGCCGGCGTAGACGCCACCAGGGCCGTGTGACGAGCGTCGAGCAGCGGTCTCTCCATGTCGTCGACGAAGAACTGGTCGGCAACAAACTCGGAGCTCCAGAAAGCATTTGATTGGACATAATTGATGAACGGCATACGGTGATTGGTTGAAGGGAATCTATGAAGGCTTTTGCTTAGAAGGCAACTAACGTTAGAAGTCAAGTTCCTTGAGGCCCAGCCACTTGGTCATGTACAGACACGAACGCGGAGAAATGACGTTTCCTTCCTGGCACTGGTCGAACACCTTAAGAAACACCGAGAGCAAGTTTAACGTCAGTAAAGGTAAAAAAAGGAGATAATTGGCTCGAAAGTTTCGACGTACCGGACAGACGCCGCATGGAGTCTCTGACAGGTAGTTAAAGGTCGTGATCTGCTGCGAAACTTTGTACTTGACCTCGTGAGATGCCTGCAAGAAGTTTCCAGGTAAGTGAGACACCGACCACGAAATATTGACAGGCAAACAATGTATTACGTACACCAGGCGTGAGACGCACAGAGCGAACTTCCTCGACGCGACCGTCGTACATGAGCGTCTGGATGATGGAACGGATCTCTTCTGGACCCAGCGCCACCTTGGAAATACCCGAGGCATGCACCTTGTCTGTAATCGCGTTCAACGTGCTCATTCCCGAGGCCTTGATCACTTCGTACACGAACGTGCTGAGTGTGTCAATAAATACGTGATCGAACTCCTGCTCATTGTACCAAGGGCCACCGGTAATTTCCGTCGAGGGCACTACAGGTAGCAACATGCAACAGATTGTAAGCAACACTTTCGACACCTTTTTGAGTCAATATTCCACACAGCGGCTTACCCAGGTCGAAGAGCATATACAGCTTCTTGTTCTTGCTGCTGATTGACTTGACGGACTTGACGAGACGGCGCGTCTCCAGAAGCCGCAGCGTCTTGGTCACAATTTGCTACGTCATTAAGTAAAAACGTCGTTCGTCAGATTTTATCCATACAACTGCTGTACGCCCGCAGTCATGCTGCACACACCTGTGGGATGTTAGTATGCGACTTAATGTCTCTGGTCCAGATGCCCTTGTTGCCTGCGCGCTCGATCTCCTGCAGCACCAAGCGCTGCTCTAACCTGCAGAGCACAAATCCAGATAATTAATATCTCCACTTTTAAATCTCCAACTCGCGTCAAAATGCGCGCATCTAAAGCGTACGTGAGTCCGCGGATGCGTTCAGCTTCTTCGGCATCCACAATGCCATAAGAGAGCACACTACCCTTCTTAAAAATCTTGATCTTGCCCTCGGTCAGCAGAGCGTTGATAACGTCGGGCAACTGGTCATAGCCACCGCCTCCTCCAGCCTGGAAGTATTCGCGCACCTCGGCGTCCGTCACAGGCTCTCGGTAGTTCTTTAGCAGGCCCAGAAACTTGGTCATGACGCTGGGTGCGCCGCTCTTGGACGCGGAAGCCATGGCTGGTCAGGTACTACCACAATAAAGACTGGCAGTGATGATCAAAGAGACACGATGTGTGATTGGATGAAATGAGAATTTACTGCTTCTCATTGGCCATTAAATACGACGCTCTTGCCTTCCAACCAGTCAACTACCAGTGTAGCATTGGTCGTCATGAAGTTCGCGTACCAGTTCCAGCACCTTTGCGGCAGCGTCTACTCGCAGGGTAACGTGACCTTCACGCCCGACGGCAACTCAGTACTCAGCCCCGTGGGCAACCGCATCACCCAGTTTGACCTCGTCAAGTACGTTCACATTGGCAGATTGGCTCACCCAATTCACATACACTAACTTTTTAATTATTGCAGCAATACGTCGCGAACTTTTGCCTTTGAAGCGCGCAAGAATGTGGAACGCATAGCTGTCTCGCACGACTCGCGATTGCTGCTGGCTGTGGACGAGGACGGTCGCTGTTTGTTAGTCAACTTGAAGCGTGGCGCTGTGCTCTACCGATTCCACTTCAAGCAATCCGTCAAAGCCTTGAACTTCAGTCCTGACAACCGCTACATTGCCGTTGCTATCGGCAACAAGGTGCAGCTGTGGCGTACACCGGGCCTAGTGCGCGAGTTCGCTCCGTTCGTGTTGCATCGCACGTACGCTGGACATTACGCTGATGTGGTGAGCGTCTCGTGGTCTCACGATTCCAAGTTCTTCGTCACGGGTGCTGAGGATCTATCGGCGCGTGTGTTCTCCGTGGACCCGTACCCCGGATTTAAGCCATTGACGCTCTCAGGCCACCGCGATGTGGTCGTGGGCGCCTTCTTCGCAGAAGATGACAGATCAATTTTCACAGTTGGACGCGATGGCGGCGCTTTCGAATGGAAATACAAACTGCCAGATGTGGAGATGCTGGAACGGACCTCAGAGGAGAGTGAGGACAACGAAGAAGAGGAGAAGGAGGAGAATAAAGACAAAGAAAGCGACAGCGACGAGAGCGAAAGCGAGGATGAAAGTGCCGGCAAGAAGCGCAAGCGTAAACTGTCCGAAGAGAAGGAATTAATCCCGGAAATTGCCCGTGCTACTAAGTGGTACACGTGCCAGAAGCACGTTCTCAAAATGGACTTCGCCAAGGTGCTGTGCTGCACCTTCCACTCGTCCACAGGAATGCTCGTGGTTGGCTTTGGCAACGGCACGTTCGGTCTGTACGAACTACCGGCATTTGTAAACATCCACACGCTGAGTGTCACGCAGAACGAGCTGGAGACAGTAGCAGTGAACGCCACTGGAGAGTGGCTCGCCTTCGCCTCGCGTAAGCTTGGCCAGCTGCTGGTCTGGGAATGGCGTTCGGAGACGTATGTCCTCAAACAACAAGGACACTACTTCGATCTGAACGCTGCGAGCTACTCACCCGACGGACGCCTACTAGCCACGGGAGCCGACGATGCCAAACTCAAGCTTTGGGACACCAACAGCGGCTTCTGCTATGTCACTTTCACAGAACACGCGGCTCCCGTGACGGCCGTGCAGTTCGCTCCCTCCGGCCAAGCCGTTTTGAGTGCCTCTCTAGACGGTACAGTTCGTGCGTTTGACCTGAACCGATACAAGAACTTCCGCGTCCTGACCACACCAGAACCCACGCAGTTCCTCTCCTTGGCGTTGGATCCGAGTGGCCAGGTCGTGTGCGCTGGTTCGATGGACCCGTTCAACGTGTACGTCTGGTCGCTGCAGACTGGACGACTCACAGACGTGCTCAGTGGCCACACAGGACCCGTGACTTCTCTGTCGTTCTCGCCTTCGTCTTCTGCCGAGCCCATTCTGGCTTCTTCGTCGTGGGACCACACGGTGCGTCTCTGGAATTTGTTTGCCAGCAAGAAGAGCTTCATCGAGCCCCTCGCTCACCCCACAGACGTACTGGCTGTTGCCTTCCGTCCGGATGGAAAGCAGCTCGCTTCAACTACACTTAACGGTGCCATTAACATTTGGGACGTCAAGGATGGCGAGCAAGTTGGCACAATCGATGGCAAGCGTGACATTGCTGGTGGTCGTAAAGAAGGAGACCACATCACAGCGGCGAACAACCAGCTCACCAAACACTTCACGAGTGTTTGCTACTCGGCTGACGGCTTGTTGCTGCTTGCTGGCGGACGCTCTAAATTCGTGTGCATCTACGCAGTGGAGCCGCAGATTTTGCTCAAGAAGTTCCAGATCTCACACAACTTGTCACTTGACGGCATCTTGGAGCAGCTTAACAGCAAGAACGTTACGGAGAGTGGTCTAAGTAAGAGCGAACTGGATGCTCATTTGGACGACTCGGAGGCTTCGGGTCGCAATGCCGGTGACAGTCTCGTGGGTGCGAAGCGTGCCGTTGACCCTGGTAGTCGGCGCAAGAACATGGAGGTGCTGTCTAAGGCGGTTCTGTTCTCCCCGACAGGACGTGCGTGGGCTGCTGCGACCACAGAAGGTCTGCTGATCTATGGACTGGATGAGAGTCTGGCGTTCGACCCGTTTGAGCTGGACGAGGACATCACACCCGAAACCATCACACAGACACTGGCACGACGCGAGTACGCTCGTGCGCTGGTTATGGCGCTGCATCTGAATGAGGAGCCGCTTATTGCTCGATGTGTGGAAGGCGTTCCGATCGCTAGTATTCCTCTAGTGGCACAGACTCTGCGTGGCGAGATGTATCTGCAGCGATTGCTGCAGCTGCTAGCCAAGAGGATGGAGCGTAGTCCGCATCTCGAGTTCTACCTCCAGTGGAGTCTTGCGGTGCTAAACACGCACGGCCAGACTCTGCGCGATGACCCATCGAGCAGTGCCACATGCCTGCCGACCCTGCGTTCACTGCAGAAGAGTATTGCTCGCCATCTGCAGGACCTTGCCAAGATGTACGTTGATCTTCTGTTTGATGCCGATGCTGCCTCGTGTGCTCTTACTGACACTTTGTGTGTGTGTGTTTTTTTTGCAGTTGCGATGACAACCAGTTTACGCTCAGTTACCTCAAGAACCTTAGCAAGATGCAGCAGATGCAGAAGACCCAATAGATGGCAGTGCGCCGGAAGGATCGCTGGTTGTTCCCTGTGGTGTTGAAGAACAGTCTTGACCGCATATAGGTGGAATGGCATGGGATCGTAGTAATAAATAGACTCATTGTGTGCTTCTTCTTCATCATCTGTGCACCTTCAACACCGAACTCTAAACAACTTTTGCGTCCTGTGTGCCGTTGCTCTCTACGTTGCTATCGTCACCAGCTGCAACACTTGGAGTCCACATCTTAATGTCTCGATTGGAACCCGATACCATCAGCGCACTCGTCGGATGAGCCGCAAGTGCGAGCACAGGGTGATCATGACCGGTCAAGACAGAAGACACGTTCTGCGTGTCCACATCCCACATGAAAACTCGGCTATCCTCCGATCCACAAGCCACAACAGGCTGCTGGTTCCATTGCTGCTCCAAGAAGGCGCACTGCATGCTGAACTTGCGATTGACATGGCCGCTGTACGTGCGCACACAGATATCGCGCATGTAATCCCAGAGACGCACCGTGCCATCGAGAGTCGCGCTGAGCACGTAGCGACCATTTGGCGTAAATCTCGCACTGCCCACAGGCGCTGCCGGGTCCGTAACAATTGAACGCAGACACTGACGAGAAGCCACATCCCACACACGCACCAAGCCGTCGTATCCGCCTGTGACCAACAGCGAGCCGTCCGTCGGATGGAACTGCACGCTGACCACTGGCTCCTGATGAGCGCCAATGATGGCGACTGTTCTGCCATTACGGACGTCCCAGAGTCTCACGTTCTCGTCATGAGAACCCGTGGCTACCAGCGATCCCTGAGGATTGAAGGCAACGCAGCTGACAAAACCTTTATGCGACTCGACGGGTGGGTCCGCCGTCACGACTCCAGAACTAATCCCATCCTCGTCCAGCCCTAAGGTCGTAGAGGACCCCTCCAAGAGCGACAACGGAATGGTGAGCGCAGCGTCCAAGCTCCGGTGGGTGGCGCCTAGTGTGGCGAGCGTCTTGGCAGTCTCTACGTCCCATAGTCGTGCCGTGCGGTCGTCCGAAGCCGATGCCAAGTGCCGAGAGTCCGGTGACCAACAGGCTGCAGATACGCCAGCCTCATGTCCATATAGAGAGGCCTTGGGCGACGTCTCCAGCTCGTTTGAGGACGTCAAGCGCCAGATTTTAATCGAGGAATCGGCCGCTGCAGGTGAAAGGCGTTAAGTTAAAAATACATTGAGGTAACAAAATAGAGAGAGAATAGTACGCTCTACATACATGAGGAGGCTAGAAAACCCTCATCAGGTGAGAATGAGAGGCTGGAGATAGGTTTGGCGTGTATGGAGAGCGTCTGATGCGCGCGCCAAGTTGCTGGAGGTGGCGTCATGATCGGAAGTGAAATTTTGACAATTCACGGGTAAAATAACGCTCTTGTTATGAACCGTCACAAAAAATTGGTCTGGACTAAATCAAGGATTATTTTTCGAGATGTGTCACTTTGATATTTTCGCAGAGCTATGGATCGATTCGAGGTGCTGGAAGAGGAGACGCACTATCCTGCGGCGCACCCCAAGAGCCTCGAGAAGCAGGCAGACAACCAGCCAGAAGCGGCGGTCGAAGAGAAGGAGGAGGAGACGCTGGAGCAGCAGCTGGAGCGTCTCGTACTCAGTGTAAAAAGCGACAAAGAAGTCGACGCCTCACAAGCAGAGGAGAAAAATGCTTCTCAAGACAAAACCGAGAATGTGAAGAGGGCGTCGGGTGCGAAAGAGCTCGGCAACAAGTACGTTGACATAACAAACTCTTGTAATAGTACTCCAGGACGAAAAGATCACTGATATTTATTTCTGCTCGCAGATTCTTCTCGCGTGGCAGCTATCTAGACGCCATCGAGTGCTACACGACGGCATTAAAGCTCTGCCCCGCCGATGAGGAGTACGCGTATAATAGGGTACGCTACATTAATGATGTATTGCTTCATTGGTCTGGCAATTAACTGTACTTGCAGGCGGTGTACTTCAGCAATCGGGCGGCATGTCTGATGCGTCTCGGACGGACTGACGAGTCTGTGGACGACTGCACGCAGGCCGTGACGCTGTCGCCTACATACGTGAAGGCGCTTTTGCGACGAGCAGAAGCTTTTGAGAAGCTGGACAAATTGGAAGAGGCCCTGGCAGACTACGACGCCGTGTTGAAGATCGACCCGACGGTGCGCACGGCGGTTAAAAGTCACGAGCGATTGCAGAAGATCGTGCACGAACGGCAGGAGAAGATGAAGGCGGAAATGCTGGACAAACTCAAGGGGTTTGGTAATACGATCCTGGGCAAGTTTGGACTCAGCACCGACAACTTCCAGATGGTGCAGGACCCCGCTACGGGATCGTACAGTGTCAACTTCCAGCAGAACCCAGGACAGCAACAGCAGAAGTGAAGTGACTGATTAGCTACGGACGATGCAGTTTTGCAAGAAAAAAAATGGTCGCCTTCCTTGCTAAAATATCCCAGATCACTTCTTCTTGCCGTTCTTGCCTCCTTTCTTCCCGCCTCCTCCTTTCTTGTTCTTCGCCACCATCTTGACGTATTCTCGACGACAAAGGACCCCGCGGTACACCTTTTGGATTTTGGTGGCTGCGTTGAAAATCATCTGCATCGACATAAAGTGTCAAAAATGCTGAACTGCGCCAGCTAACCACAAACCAACGCACCATTTGCTTCTCTCGCTCTCGAGCCCTGATTTCTTCCAGTACGTGCTCCTCAGCATCGATACGAGATTGCTCCTCATCGATCTATAAACATGCAGCGATGAGACTTCTATTCCCAGTGGTAAGCTTACCAACAGAATCATGTCGACGCTTACCTTCAAAAAGTGCTCATTGAACTGTTCACATTGCTCGCGTTCCTTCCGGAAGGTCTCTGCTAGTGTGAGCAGCTCGGCTCCCATGACCTCCATCTCATTGTCGAATTTGTCCACCACTGCTGCGACCTCGGCGGCCATTTTGCATTTCTTCTTGCGAAGTGCGTCTTCTTCTTCCTGATGCTCCTGAACCATCTTAGCAGCACGCAGCTCTAACGCAGCAGCTTGATCCAGCAACGTCTTCATTTCTTCCGAGTGCTGGTCATGAGCCTTGGCTTGTGCCTCTTTCAGATCACTATCGATCATCGTTAGCTCATGCGATGCGGTCTGTCACGACAGCAAAACGGTGAATGTCACTCTTAGCGTTCAAATAACACGGCCACCTTGTACCTGATTGATTGCGTGCAGCTCACTTCGCAGCTTCTGCACTTGTGCATCCAACAGAGCCACCTCTTCCTCTTTGGTCTTCCGCATCTCCGTTAGCTTCTCGCGAATTGATAACCGTTCATCTTCTGCTTGCTTCATGCGACTTTCAGCCACTGCCATGAGCTCCTTCTTGGACTTGGCATCCTCCAGCGTCTTGTCCAATTGTGTGTGCGTGAGATCTGTCAGCTCAGATAATGCCTTCACCAGCATCTGCAAGTCCTCGGATCGATCGTGAGTTGTTGTGCCCTTATGATAGAGCACCTCCACAGCCACGGGATGTTCGCGCAGGTCTCGACATAGAGCTCTTGCTGTCACCCGAACTTGATCAGCGATGTCACCTTGACGGCTGTCCATTGCTTGCGTAGCCTGTTGATAGAGCTGCTCCCAACGCCAGTGTTCACGCAGCAGTTCGGCTGAGTTGAGGCATCGACTCTCACGCAGTGATTCAAGAAGAGAGTTCTGTGGCTCGAGCGGCACATACGTGAGGTAGTTGAGGCGATCGAGTAGATCGCCCATGACTGCCATCATGCGCTGTGATTCGACATTGGTCAACTTCTGCATGGCGGATCGTAGAGAAAATTTTGAGAATGCTAATGAAAAGACGCGAAACCACGAGCTATTTTCTTTTGCTTCTTGTTATGGTCCTAGGCGATTGCTACTTGTATGAAGACATTGTATTGCTCCTTGCTAAACTGGATCGAAAGAAGAGAGATGTAAGCATTAATTTAGACAGCAGAAGTAAGTAGAGCGCAACATAATTTACGATTATCACGAGTCATTTGAAGCAAAATTACCATTACGTTTTCGTATCTTCAGCTACGCCGACACATTTTGCGACTTACACTCCTGGCCTTCGGCACCGTCAGCAGGAATGTACCAGCAGTGCTTCGTTTGAACTCCACCAGCGGTCGTATCGCTCATGGTCGAGCCAAACGCCCACGATTTGTCAGCCGTGTGGTACTGTACCTTCAGCCATTCCTCCGACGCCTCCAATGAGAAGAAACCGTATTCGTCACCACCGTACGTCCACACGTTTGTAGCATACTTGGCTGCGTACGTCGTGAGACCACTAGCCGACTCCTTCTGGATACCGCCACCAGCTCCGTTCTCCACAAAATGCACACCCAGTGACTCCGAGTAGTCATGCTTCTCACCGTGCGTGTGGCCATAAACCCAGGCGTGGATACCAGAGCCCTCCAGGATATCAAACCACTCCTGCATACCTTTCTCATCGTAGTGTACATGGGGACTGTAGTGGCTGTTGACAATCTTCCACGTTGCAGTGGATGTTGCCACCTTCTCTGCCAGTTGCTTGCGTGAATCATCGCCCCACTCCTTAAACTTGGCAAAGCATGCGTCGTACATGTCCGTGTCACCTCCGGCGCAGAATTCATGTCCACGCGCAACACCCTTGCATGAATCATCGTCACCCTCCGAGTAAGCGAAGCATTGGCAACACACCTGGAGAGCAGCGTGTACGTCAGCATCGCCCGTGTCCACATTGAAGATGTCAACGCTCACACCCGAGTCTTTGTCTTCAATGGAGTAGACGTAGAAGTGGTCCTTCAGCACCCAACGGTTATCGTTAGGACTCGTGTACTCTTGCTGCCACTTAAACTTGTTCTCAAGGCCCTCAACGATATCATCAGCACTTTTGCACTTGGCGTTTTCGTCACCTTTCGAGCAAATGAAGCTGCCACCACCGTAGTCGTGGTTACCCACAACGTTCACGAACGGGATTGACGCTAGGTTGTCGCCACTGAATTTTTTCTCGAAGGTTGTGGTGAAACGAGAATCGCGTCCTTTTGCACTGTTAATACCCGTCCAGTAGAAGTTGTCGCCGTGGCCGAGGATAGCCTTGGGCTTGATGTCGGCGTTGCCCGCTTGAGTGTTCATGAGACTGGCCACGACATCCTCTGCCACAACATCAAAGTTGGTGTAAGTTTCGGAGCGGGTGCAACACGAGTCCTGGTAAATGGTCGTTCCCCAGTCACCGACGGCAAACGCAGCTAGCGAAAACTTCGCAGAAGCCGGGTCAGATGTGATTGAGCTTTCGCGAGAACTTGTGTTGTTGCTCTTTTTGGATGGCTTGCTCCTGCTTCCAGACGAAGTAGTGGTCGAGCTGCCACCAGATACACTAGAACCGGAGCCGGAGTTAGCAGTCCCTGACGACTCTGTGACCGAGCTGCTGCTGTCAGATTGGCGAGTCACTATCACGGCTGCAATGACACCGATCACAGCGATGACTACCACCACGCCGATCAGCTGAGCTTTCTTGGGCAGCATGGTGGTATTATCTTCGGGTGTGGGACCTGTTGGAGTAGTGTGGTTTGTCCTCTACTGACGTGGAAAGCTGAATGCCCCCTCCTCGGCAAAAGCTGGAATGATTGGGGTGAGGACGTTGCCACACAAACACTTGAAAAGCCTATCCCAAACGCAAGCATCTGCACCGTCTGGCTCTCCATATTTTTATCAATTCAATCTCAGATTACCACGGCAGATCTGCACTCAACAAAACGTGAATCTCTTCACCATGAAGTTCACGGGTTCACCTGCTGGTTGTAGACTGGAGCAGATGATGTTCATGCGGTTGTATTCCACCGAATTCGCTTACATTCAGCACCTCTACGAAAATCCATTCAGAATCAGCGTGTCAATCAACATGGACGAGCGCACGCAAGCTTAACAATGCTGGTATTAATATCGTCTGGCAGAGCAAATGTTTCTTTGATGGCCCTTGAGAAAACATTTACTACATATACCACTAGGCATCAAATAACCCTCCTCCTAACAGCTAATAAAATAGTGTTTTTGCGAAACTTAGTTTTTTTTGCGAATTACTGTTCATAGCATGAACTTTTTTTTTTTACCTTTTTAGGGTTATAGTTGTTAATGTGAATAAATGCTATTGATTTGAGCTTGAATTAAGCTAAAATGACTTGGTTTTGATAAAACTACATCTTGCCTTTGATTTTATTCCTGTTCTCATGTCAAGGCGGTTGTTTCATTACCAGTAAGATATTTCATTAAAGAAGTGCATAGAAGACAGAAGGTAATCTTTCTGTCAGACAATACTAATCTATGCTTACGCAAAAGCATGCACAAGCTACGACTGACAAACCGTCAGTCGTCATGGTGGGCTCGTCAGTGATGTCTACTGATGGAGACATACCCATTGACTATGGGTCTGACATCGAAGACGTCTCCATGGAAGACGAGGACATCTCGCCTTCAGCTGCCGACTCTAAGTCGACCGAACCAACACCCGACCCTCCGGTTGGGTCGCGGTGTGGCCGTGGCGATGTTTCGGACGCTCCTGAATCGAAGCGTCCGCGCAATGAAGAAGATGCGCAGTCACCTGTGCCGGTGCCGCCTGCTTCTCCGTGTACTGCACCTGCAGTACGCGCTCCCTGGATGCCAACTGCTATCGAAATCGCTGACGTTCGGCGCGACGTCGCCGCCGCACTCGATTGGATGTACGTGTGCAGCGCCATCAATGATGACGCTGAGGCCGTCGACATGCACTTTGATTCGTCTAAAGGCGCGACTACTACATCGGACTCTTCAATGAGCTCCGATGGAATGCGTCGAAGAAACCTTCGCGCAAAAGCAAAGTGCCTGAGTGGGTGGCACTTTGACAGTCTTGGAACGCATTTGTTGTGAGCTTCAACAACAATGCGAAAGGCTACCGGGAGCGTATTATCGCGGCTCGCCAGCGCTTTAAGACCTTCTCGAAACGTCATCTTGTCGATAGCCTCCATATTGACGCTATGGAAGCGGGAATCCACTGCGCAGTTCCACCTGAAACTGCGTGTTCGCACTGCCGCCTTAGGGCATGCGTTTTTCTGAACGCGATGTTCTCGGGTACACCTCCGTACGTGTACCCGCTTCTCTTCGAGACCTCCGTGCTCAATTTGAGCACCGTGATGCACCCCGTGCTGGTGGCTCTCGCAGTTTTAGTGCAGGCATACTGTCTGCACTCGGTTCTGGGCCTCGTACACCCTCACCATTTCCGAAACGTCCTTCATCAGGACGTCCCGCGGCTCCCATGTATCTCGATGGGGAGGAAATCCTCTCCAACGAATACGAAGACGAGCCTGATCTCGGTTCGTCCTTGGGGCTTCATAGGCCACGACGCTTTCGACAATCCAACGTGCCGTGCGCGTCACGCTGCGACAGTGGCCGGGGCGGAAAGATATCCTCCGTATGGTTAAGCCCAGGTTGATCATGACTCCCGCGCTCTGTAGGACCGTGTCGTCGCTCTGGAACAATCCCAGAACGGCGAGTTCGCAGTCCTGCAGCAGGAGCTGCGCCTACATATGGCGCAGGTCGCTGAGGCTGCTCAGACCGCTTCGAACATCCAAGTCGTACTTGAAACGGAGCTGAGGCACCTGCGCGACCGCGTCGTCGCGCTCGATAAGCTGGCTCACACCGCTTCGTCGTTCTCGATCCATCGAGGCTAGTTAGCTCGTGTTGCTCGTAAACTTCAGCCGCCCGACGTAAAATGTCGGATTGAGTCACAGACTGGACGGTATGTCCAACGTATACGCGTTGCTATGTCGTTCAAGTACTGTGAACTGGCCGATGAAGCCGCTGTATCGGTCAGCAAAGACCACAACGCCAGTCCTCCGCTTGTTGCCTGGCGAAAGACCGTATACAAAGTCCATAGAAATGGACTGCCATCATTCCGACGGTGTCGGTAGTGACTGTAATGGTGCCTGCAAATACGCAGCAGGCTTCACGCGTTGGCACACTTTGCAAGCACGTACGTACTTGCGCACCCACTTGTACTGGTGATCCCAGTACAAGTCTCTCGTGAGAAGAGCGTACGGCCTCTCACGGCTCGGGTGCCCTGCCTTAGGGGCATCATAATACTCGTACGTGATCCGCATCGTCGTCCACTGCGCTGTAAAGCAACAGTCCTTCGTGCAAACGATATCGATGTGCACGAGCTCGCAGATGTGGTGACAATTTCCGACGTGACACGTCAGAAGGTGCTAAGACATAGTCTAGCAGTTGTTTCGCGTCTGCGTCACTCGCATACGCAATCTTCACGTCGTCGATCAATGTCGACGACGGAACCCGTACTCGTTCGACGCCAATTCTATTGACGTCGGCTGCCTTAACGGCATTATCAGGTCGACGCGACAACGCGTCGACCACCACATCCAACCTTCCAGGTTTGTACTCAACCTGGAAGACGTACTCCGCAAAGAACGACAACCATCTTGCCATTCGTTGCGAGGTGTGCGGAGTCTTCACTGCAGTTCGCAGTCAAGCGTGGTTGGCGTAAACCACGAACGGTCTACTCCCAAGTAAATACACTCGAAACTTCGCGAGTGCATACCTCATGGTAAGGATCTCCTTGTCATGTACAGGATAGTTACGCTCGGCTGGCTTCAGCTGACGCGACTGGTAGTAGATCACACGATCACGACATTAGTGCTCGTGCTGCATCAACGCGCATCCGATCGCAAATTTAGACGCGTCACACACGATATGGAATGGGCGATCTTGGTCAGCCACTGTCAAGACCGGCGCCTCAAGCAAGCCCTGGTTGGCTGTATCGAAGGCATGCTCACACTCAGCAGTCCAAATCCACTCAGCCTCCTTTTTCAGAAGCTCTGACAGCGGGCAAATCTTGCCCGCGTAATTCTCAATGTACTTGCACAAGTACGCTGCAAGTCCAAGGAACTGCCTCAGCTCCTTCACGTTGGATGGCGTAGGCCATTCATTGATCGCTCAGACCTTTTTCTGGGTCAGGGCGTACGCCGTTCTTCCCGACGGGTCACCCAAGGACGAGCATCTCGCTCGCCCCGAAGATACATTTCTTCTGGGTTGCAGAGAGCTAATCTTTACGCATAAGCCCTACCAGTTGATGGAGGTGCTCTTTGTGCACCTCAACGTCAGTCTTCCCGGTCACAGCCCGGCTGTCAACGAGCACGTCATTGAAGTAGCTCGGTGCGAATTCACGCACTGAGCTCAATAGATGCGTTACACATCTATTGAAGGTTGCAGGGACGTTCTTTCGTCTCTGCAGCATTACTAGCCACTCCCAAAGCATACCGCTTGGAGTGCTCACCGCCGTGAGAAGGATGCCCATCTCACGCATCAGGATTTGATAGAACCCGTCGCGCAGATCAAGAACACTATCGATGATGCTCCTGTCCATCGAATCGATGATAACATCTTTTCGTGGTATCGGCGTCTGCGCCGATATCGTCGCACCGTTCGGCTTGTTATAAGCATGAACGATGCGCCATCCGCTCTGTGGCTTCTTGACACAGAACGTTGGTGCGCTGTGTGTTTGACCGCTTTCTAGGCATTGATAATGGAGCGAGCGAATCAGACAGCCTCACCAATCGCAGGCCAGGCCCGCTAACGATCGCCTCTCTAAAGGCCGAATACATCACAAAGGACATGATTGGTCGTTTTGCTGACTATTTACTAGTCTACGAGGACCTGGCGTGCAGCACTAGTCTGGATTGTATGAGCTCAGTCCGAGTTTTATTGGAGAGAAAGACCTGTACTAGGCTATTTGATGATAACAAATCGTGGTACAGTCAGCTGCGTAAATCACTCGAGAAAGAATTTTACAACCGCTTGCCTGAGGGCGTCAGGCTCGTGGTCAACAGAGCTCCACTCATGACACCTGAAGACCTTCGTTTGATTGGAGGGGGGTTATTCGCTGACAACACAACTTTGTCGTTGAAGGATAGAACACTTATCAATTTTCACTGGGCTGTTGTTGGAAGAATATCAGACATCACAAATCTGGAGTTTTGCTATCTTCTGTGGGTGAATGATGCAATTCTCATTAATATTGTGCGCAAGAAGGTGGCTGAACAGCAGTCATTATCGATACTTTGCTCAGCGCTAATGTGGGAGATAGACCCTTTTCACAGTCTAGCTACTCAGCTGGCCACTGATCCATTCAACCCGTCGTCTCGAGTCTTCCCACAAGTCGCAATAAGCGAGTCAGGTGAGTGTGGTAGCGCTCACACCAACAAAGTGCTAGCTGCATTGTCAACAAGCTCTAGCTGTGGTGGCCAATTAACGCCTGGCTTACGAACACACTCAGCTCGCCGTGGAGCTGCTACGCATGCTGCATCAAACAGTGGACTGAGTTTAGCTGATGTCGCGCATCGAGGCAAGTGGAGTATGAAGCAGATGATGAAACTATTTGTTTACATTGCGTCTACAACCAAAGGTCACTTAAAAGTAGCCCGAGTTCTTTCTGGGTGGAAGGTTGCAGATGCGGTAGTCCATTCACCCCATCTAGCGCCTGGTTTGTCGAGCCGTGCTGACGCTGACCCAAACGACTCGAATCTACAGCAGAAATTTGCACTTTCCCTCTTTGACAAAGCC